GAGGGGACCCCGCTTCTGCCCCCCCCCCCGCGCCCCCCCGTGTGTTTCCTCTGCCCGGCACGGGTAGCCCCCGCGGTGAGGATGGGGCCGCGGCGAGCTGAGGCACCCCCAGCTTGCCCCCCGAAGCACTGCCGGCCGTTTCTCAGGGGGACGGGATGCTCCCAAAACCGCGGTCCTGCGGTCCTGGAACCGGGCGTCTCGGCCACGTTGAGTGTGGCCCGGCACCATCCCCACCAAGGGGTCCCAGCCCCACCCGTGGTGGGCCACTGCCATCTCCCGTGGGCATCTGGTGTGAGCCCCAGGCCCCGGTCACCCCGGGACCTGGCCAAGCCCACCGGCTTCATCGGAGGCCCCTCGTCCAACCGGCTCTGCGCCATCGCCACCAGCCCTTCCTGCGTCCTTTCCTCAGGGCACCCCACCTCGCCAGCTTGGCATTAACGCTGCTCACCCTTATCTTTTTTGTTGTCCCTGCAATCATTGGATTTACCCCGTTTTCTTCCCCCAGCCCACTCTCTCCTCCCAGGGAAGGCACCACGGTTCGTTATAGTCTGGCCGGTGCCCAGCGCCACGGGGAATTCAGTGAAGGCCGTGGCGGCTGGAGGTGCTAAGAAACACATGCAAGCCCGCGGTCCCTTCCTCATTTTGGCACCCTTTTATGACAGTCGACACAAGGCTGACCCAGCTTCCTAGCCATTGCCTCGATGCTGCAGCCGAGGGCAGGCAGGGCTGCGCTTAACGAACTTATTCACGCTGTTTCTAAAGCAGTATTTGCTTAGCTACGTTCTTTGTGCAGCATCACCCTTTGGACTTTGAGCCCTGTTCCCCTCCATCATCTTTCTTGGATGACCGACCCCTCCATAGGTGTTTGCAAGCCAAACCTCAGAGGTGAGCTTACAAAGCAACGCCTGGCCCCTTTGAAGAGCTTGGCAGCGTTCCCGGGGACTTCAGCAGGGTCAGAAGCCCATTCCCAGGAACAAATCAGAGCTAGAGCCAAACCCATTTCCGCTGCAAATCACTCATCGGCTGGAGTATATGGCCATGCTTTGGTAATTCACAGCAGCGTGCACATCTGTGGAGAGGGCCAGGACAAAGGTGGGGGCTGTGCGATGCTCTCGGGGTTGATAAATGAGCCGGGAATGGTTTGGCTGAGCTGCTCAGGGTGGGACGAGCTGGGCACCGCTCTGGGAAGACCATGCTGGCCATCACTGCCCGTGGGGTGGGGGAGCGGCTGCAGACCATACACGTAGCTGTGTCCCGGCATATGAAAAGCTGCAGGCTTTTCCCTGAAAGCCAACACTATATCTCACTTTTTAGTGAGATCTAGTTTGTTTCAGTGAGGGGAACAGCCCACATTGTCTTACAATTAGGCTGCATGTCTACATTTTCTGGACAAATGCTGGTCTGCTCTGTAAAACAAGTTCCTGCCCAAAAGGCCCCATAAGAATAAGGGAGCTGGAGCCAGCCAGGAGCAGAGCTGGACCTTAAGCAAAAATAATTACGATATTTTTAATTGGACTCCAAAATACAACAGGGAATGGTCTTTGTGCACAGGAAATGGGACACCACTTCAAAAAGAGCAAAAAAACAAAGCAGCAACTCAGGAGTATTACAAGGAACATCTGGAGGAAGGCTCCCGGTGTGGAAAGGCTGCAGGACTTGGCATGTTTGTGCACACCTTGCTTCAAAAGGTCCGGTAAAAAAAACTGAATTCGCTTTTAAA